GAACGGTACCACGTTGATTATTAAGATCTACACCGACTATTATTCTTCCGCTCCACTCATTCAACAATATTTCTGAGTATAAATGTAATGAGAATGAGTCAATTTCTAAGTCTAAGTTGATTTGTTTCTGAAACTTCCTGATAACCTGCACCCTAATTGTATTATTGACCTTAAGAATAACTGTATCGTAGTATTCATGCTCAGCTGACACTCAGAAACCCTATACGGATTTATCATACATGAGGTTGTTAATTAGATTTACAGGTATGAAAGATGATATGAAGTCGGTTGTTAAAACAGTTTCAAACTCAAAACGGAAAGCATTGTTGTTTGTGGTAGTTTTATTCATAGGTGGTATTATGTAATGCGTGACTGTATTGCTAAATATTCCAAAATTTAGGAAAATATATATTGGTTTGCAAAGAGTTGATTGATTCCATGGTGGGTTGGGAACTTGATGCGAAAATTAAGATCACGAACTGTGACATCTATTGAAGAACTGCTGAAAACTTGGGAATACTGGACAGCTCCTTCCTCCAAGTTTGGGACTTTTCAGGCCTATGCACTCATGGCTCCAGCTTAAGGGATCGAACACAAGGTCTTCATGTTACTTGGAAAACCTAACTATGACCGTTGAAGCACTGAGACGGTTTTCCGATAGTCTGTACATATCTAAGTTCTACTATTTCTCCATATCTAAACTCCATTGCAGCAAACCTTAACGTTTTTGTGAAGGGGGGAAGGGGACGGAATTAGACTTTCTTATAAACAAATTTATTGTGCTGAAATATATATGTATTTCTTATCTACCACGCTAAAAACCAGGTACATCAAATATATAAGGAGGGCTGGTCATGTTTTTCACATGCCAAAGTTAAAGTGGAATAGTACGGCGTGCCAACTTGAGACACTTACCGGCAAAAAGTCGACTATTCTGGTTAGTGAGTCATTAAAGTGTTTTTTAGGAATAAATCAATAATTAATAAAGTTTAATCAAGATCTCCTAACCTTCATACAAAGTCTGTCAACCTTGTGAATAAGAATTCTACACGTCTGAGTTATAACTTAAAAACATTGTATTGATTTTTCGTATTATTATTATTGCTCCCTTGGGTTCCTAGTGGAACATAGGGCTTCAACTTCACGTCTTTACTTCCCTCTGTCTTCTGCTGTACTTTTCACCTGCATCCATGTTAGTCCATACTGTTTCAACTTCTCTTCACACGATCTCCTCCATGTCATCCTTGCACTGACGTCCTACTCGCCGCTTCCTTTTCGGGTTCCACTCGAGAAATGGCCTGACGCGCGCGCGATGTCATTCAGCGGCCTCCTCAGCAAGCGAGTGTCCAATCCACCTCCATCCACTTTCTCCTGCATATTTTTTGGTTGGCGATTGGTTCTTGTTTTGTCTGTTCCCATAGTTTCTTGTTGGTGGTGATTCTTTCCGGCCCGGCCATCTGATTGATCTTCAGTATAGAGCGAAGATAGTTGTTGTTGATAAAGGTCTGCAACAGGCTGTTGGAAATATTCTTTGTGACCCGCCCACCAAGTTTCTGATCCGTATAGAAGAACTGACTTGTCGTTGTTTGTATTGAAAATCTGACCGAATTTTGTTGTTGATGCTGGCTGAGTGACAAAGATTTTCAGATTGGTTTCAGGTTGATGAATGTGTTTCTCGCTCGCCTTCCCGATTCTCGCTTGATTTGACATCCTCGTCCGTCCCGACTTCCTGTAGTTGAGACAATGCTCCCTAGATGAGTGAATGAAGTAACATCTCTCAAATCCCTCCCGCTGGTTGTGATTGGCACTGGATGTTGCTGTTGTTGTTGTTGGTTGGTTGGTTGGTTATTTTCATAACCTTCGTCTTGTCTGTGTTCACCTGGAGTCCTGTCTCCGCCGGCTGATTCTTCGACCAGTTTGTCGGTTTCCGCTTGTAAGTCTTCGATTCGTCCGCGAAATCAAGATCTTCTAGGTTATTCACGTCGATCCAGGATATCCCTGTCTTCTCGTTTCCCAGTGTCTGACGCATAATCCAGTCAGTCCACCAGAATTAGGAATATCATTGGTGATAATAAGCACCCTTGTCTGACTCCTGTGTTTACTCTAAACGCCTCACTGAGTTTTCCGTAGTGGATCACTTGATATGTGCCGTTGTCGTACAGCTGTTGAATAAGGTTGATGAATATTTTCCGTACGCCGTAGTCCGAGTATTTTTCGTACGTGACATATTTATAATTTCAAGAAGGGATCATACCAAAAAGGAGTGTAGGCTCACAACTATAATTTCCTCTTACAGTATTTTTGTTATTATTACCGTTTGTTATGTAATATGATTGTAAACTACTGAAAATTTCAAAATCCCTATTAATCATTGAACATCTCTCAGATGAATTTTGAAGAAACATTTTCCTTTTCAACTTTTAACTGTTACTATGTAAGGATTTGATTGACTTCATGTTATATATGGATCATGAACTGACATCGATCAGAGAATGAATCATTTAAAAATTCATAGTTTATACCAAAACAGTTGTTTCGTTCTAGTTAAGGACACTTTGGAAGTACACATCAATGAGTGAATACTAGACTGAAGTGTCGAACCTATGACACATTGATTTTATAAGGTGAGCCTACTGACCATTTAACCAATGAGAACAAATCTGATGATGCATGAATTCTGAGTTCTGTCAGTTTGCCTATTTGTATCATCACTGCCACCATTAGTTGCCGACTTCACTGGTAAATATCTGTCCTAATATTCGACCTGATGATGGACGCTCACTGATCATTGTTTTATGATAGATCCTTTTGTGAAATGTTAAATGTGTTCTGTGCCAAATACTCGTCTCATTGATATAAGCATAAAACTTGTTTTGATAAATCACACAGTGTTGTTATACCACGTTCCGAGCATAAATTATTACTGCTCATAATCATATCAAATCACCCACTCACACAACTTTCTTCCTTCATTTATATACATGATTAAAACTGATGATTAGACATTTGAATAAAAGTCAATATAAGATAGTGTACATTCAGAAAAAATAATTTGAGTGTTATTGACCAATTACAATCGGATGAGAAATAAGACGAGTGTGTTTATAGTCAAATAAATTAGTAACTTGTTAGAAAGTTATGAGGTACGTGAACTGAAATAGAATTTTAAGATTATATATTATCCTCCTCTGATTTGACTGACTGGTGGTAATAATATCTTCCATATCTCTGGTATTTGAGTTGAGTCACTATTATTGCGCATGTGTTGGGTGTGGACTCGATGAACAAGGATTCAGTAATCAACCACCTCTCTCTTCATCTACCTATATTACTCCTTAGAATTTTAACCCTCTCCCACCCTATTGTGTGTGTGGTTGTGTGTCAATGTATGCAGTGCAATTGCTGAGTTTTTTCTAAATCACTTATCTTCACCGGGTCAATCATTCTAACATTAATTAAATTCTTATATTCTGACAGTGTGACTACTCCTGATCTACTTAGTTTGACCTATGTAGTTGACTTCACTCACAATCATTGCAAGGTATTTTCTAAGTTATATTATTATTGTCTGCTTGCATAGAGCATATGCCATTAGTAGTGTAACAACAGAAGACAAGGGCCAGTCAACAGATTTATTAAGGAAATCAACACGTATTTATATATATTTCATGTACATCAATATAGCTTATTCAAGCAAACAAACACAGTCTCCTGATTGGTTTTTTCTCACAGAAAGTTAACCTTGCATCTCTTTTTGTCTGTTTCTTGAATGTCAGATCATCTATATGTTAACTGTATCCGTCTACGCAAAGTGTGCTGTGGTTGTTTGTTGAATTAGTTCATATTTTCTCACAACCAATATTTGGGACATACACATTGACGTAAAATACTGTCTACCAATTTCGGCCAGCAAACACCTCTCACCTCACTAGCAGTTATCTGAACGAAATGTTTATACAATGTTTAAAATTCTCAGCGTAATTTACTGTATCCAGAATCTTTAAGAAAAACAAGAATATATAGTATATCTATTATGTGACACACAACGCTGTTCCATCTTAAGTATAAACTTATCGCTAATGTTAGTTCTTTCTCTCCGTCTCCGAGGTATAAGCACCAGTAGTCTGAAGGTCAATCAAAAATGTGTGTGAGTACACTTTACTATTCAAATGCGTAAATGAATGGTTGAACTGGAATAAATATGAAGCATTATATCACTTTTGAGTGAGGCGATACAATAACATGTGTAATAAGACGTTTTTATAGTAAAATAAATAAGTAACTTGTTAGAATGTGAATTGAATATATTTTAACATTATTTATTTTCCTTTGATTTAACTCATGGGAATCAGATCTTCCATATCTGTGGTATTTCCGTTGGGTGTAGACTCGATGATCCAGACAGGATTCAGTAATCAACCTCTCTCTCTCCATCTACCTATATCACTTTTTAAAATTTTGACTCTGTCCCACCCTGTCGTTTTGTTTATTGTGATGATCATAGTGGCCTACTCAAATCATTGAGCTACCCGAATGCTTTTGTCTATCAAATTGTTTCATTTTTACTCCATTACAAATTGATTTAATCTCTTTTAATTACGACAATGAGTTGTAATCTATGCTCGCCCACAATTTCAAACAACTTTCTACCTATCTATCTATCTACCGGTAGGAGTTTTCGAGGGAAATTGAAGAATATTGTTGAGTAGCACACTTTGAATGGAACAATATTTGCTTCAGAGGATGTATTATCGATTATTGGATTAATTTGAAGATTCTATACAAGGGTAGAGGGTGGTTGAGGAAGGGCGCAAAAAATTCTTTGCACTGGAATTCGCTGGGAATCCTGTATTGCGTATAAACGCTTTTTTATCCAGGATAGAGCTGCTATTATGTGTTTATTTGTATGCATGCATATCAATTTCTTTAAATATTGATTATTTTCTCAAGAGAGTATAGTAAAGTATTCATGCTCATTTTCATTGATTTTTTTCTATTAGCTATTAATGAGAAAGTATTGGCTACAGAACAAGCTGTCAGTTGCCCGTATATAAATGATATCAGTTCTTCATTCCCATGGATACCACCAGCTGTACCAAATCATATAAGTGAAGAATTATCACATTTACACGGTGCACCATTTATATGGTTTGCTGGTCAACTAGCTAGTTATTTAATGCGTCCGAAATTTGATACAAGCAAAGAAATGAAAATATTTAATAATCTTTCTGAATCACCTGTTGTTGGCATACATGTTCGTCGGACTGACAAGGTGAGCAACAGACAGAGTAAACAGTGATTCTATCATGCTTTCGACAATTGTTTAACAGTTAATTTACAAACTACTTAATTGCTCTGTTTAAGTAGTGTGTGTTGGTAGTTTCCAAAGCTATGATTGAGTATATAACTCTTTATTTCTATTAGATTATGTTCTCCAATGGAAGTCATTCAAAGGATAGTCAATAAATTGTTATTATTGTGAAATATTATTCATTACTTGTGTTCCGAGTGGTAAATATGGCTTTATGACCAAAGGTCCATCTCACATTCTCTTCTCTGTAGTCCTCTTTAGCTGGATTCACAATTTAGCATCAGCTCTCATCTCTTCCTCATACGATCTTCTTGTGGTATCACTGCCTCATCGACGCCAATCCTTGTCGTTTTCTAATAGTGTTCCACTTGAAGGCCTATGGTGTGATGTCACTCGACGGTATCTTTAGCTTGTGTCCAATCCATGTTCATTTTCTTCGGCATATTTGTTTTAGATAATAATTCTCTGCAGTATATAAGAGAATTGGGCCATGTTAAACTTTAAGTACTACTAACTACCAATCAGCGAACGACGTCGAATTATCCAATGATATTCACGAATGTTAGTTCAATGTTGTATAGCGCTTGATTCATTTCAAATGCGTGCCCTAACAAGGTTATGGTTGCAATTCGAGGAGGATAGTGTTTTCCAGTATTGCCTGGATTTAGGGCTGCTTCGGAAGGAGAGAACTTGTTCGTGTGTTGGTTTCATGACTTTAAAAAGCTTTAGCAGGTCAACTGATAGGTTTGTCCCTCGTTAGCATTAGAGAGGGTAAGCTGATAATTTTAATATTTCGTAGGAACTTTTTCTGCAAGGTGACACATCTCCTTAACGCGAATTTTGTATATCTGCAACTACTGAGTGTTGAAACAGCCAGTGAGAGCCGCAACTGCTGAGACGGAGAATAGCCTCATATCAACAGTTCAATGGTATCAGCATTGCATAGATATCGCTTCGTGGCAAATGGAGAAAATCACTTCTTTGTTGAGTGAAGGCATTATTGTGCATGCCGATGAAACTGTGTTGGTGAAGAAGAAATACAACCGTGGTCGGCAGAGAGCGAACTATATTTGGGTAATAGGTTTGTATGATACCTCCCACAGAAAGGGATTCGTCGAAACGATAGCAGATAGAAAAGCAACTACTTTAATACTTATTATTATCAGACCTGTAAAACGAGGATCTATAATACATACGGACAAATGGAAAGGTTACAAATCTCTGTCATCTCTGGGATATATTCATCATAGAGTCAACCATTCAAGTGATTTTGTCGATCCAGTTACGAGGACACAGACAAATTCTATTGAAGGATTTCGGAGCAGGTTGCAAAAATTAGGATAAGGGCTATAAATGGATCTCAAAAGGATCTCATTTATAGTCATTTGGATGAATATGTGTACAGAATGTAGTGTAACTTTTCTGTTGACAGTCCGATGCTTAACTGGGAGATGTTTATCTCACATATTATGGTAAGGTATCCCCCCCCGTAACAGTTTTATGCCTTTTCTTATGCTTTATTTCTATAAATATACATTTCCATTTATCATAAATGCCTCTTCAATGTGATTGGTCCTTTCAAGGTAGTTTGCTGATTGGTTGTTAGTGGTGTTGAAAGTTTAACTTTGCCATAAGGGTCCGGTTCGCTTTTTTCTCAGCTCCCGGTTTCGACTGTGACATATTCATTTGTGTACCACCGCCATGCAGCTGAAACGATACCGTCTGGATAAGTGAAAAGTGACTTGTTTCAAACTTGGTGATTATTTTTCTTCTGATTGGAAAGTTTATTTTAATTACCTCTGTGAAATTCCTATAACTTTCCGGTGGATCCATGGCTGCCAGCATGCTTTCATTTCCTCATCACATGAAGATCATGTGATGAGCTTTTGACTTGAAATTTGATCCAAAAGACAGTAGGGCAGTGTCAGAAGCTACGTCTCCAGGGTTTCCGGTGACCAGAACATGTTCACATACGAGTAAATCCTTTGGGATTATGGAGCCCAGGTAAACCATGGGTTTGGAATCAGGATTATTTTTTTAGCCTTTCTTGGTGTAGACCCTTATGCCCACCAGTTTGGCGAGACATTCTTATCCTCCCTTTCACTTTTGTGAGTAACATACCCTCACTGTGAAGGAAAAGAATAGAACCTATCAGACAGAGGCTATGAACCTGCGGCCAAATGAAAGCATCTAGAAAGAAAGACTTAAGTCTACCCACCCATAGCATGGCCGTACTAGGTCGTTTATGGAGGGGGGGGGTGAATGTCAAATAGTGACAAGGGTAAGTCATTGAGAAGATTTTTAAACTCCCATCAATTGAACTGGTTGTTACATGATTTATATATTTAGAGAGTATTCACTGAAATAGATTAATGCTAGGGAAGAGGTATGGTGTGATCAAACTAGCATATGGAAGTGATTCTCAAAGTCTTTGTCGAATATTCTAGTTCGTATACGGATGTATATATCTTGTGTGCTTACGATCACTAATTCAAAGCAAGATTCTCTTCTCTGTCAAACTGATGGCTTATTGATCTCTTCGGTTCACAGTTCCTCCTATGCACGAGCACCTTAATTATAATAGCTGTCAGAACTTGAACAAATTCTCATCCAAACATTTGAACAACTCCATATACTTCCTAATTAAAATCGCTTACATTATCTTCTATGCATTAGATGCACAGTAATATCTCTATATTAATTTGGTTGACAGTAAAAAAACACCGGAGTTCAGAATGTGTATGTCATCATCCTCTGTGTGAATTCTCAACTGGTTGTACTTGCTACCCAGTAAGCGTGTTGGTTATGTCCCTACTGGGACTCGAAACTAACATCTATCATTCCAAACAGTTTTAACTACGAAGTGACATCAGTTAAAGTGCCATCGGGAAACTATGGAGTAATGGACAGCTGTTTTGTCCTAGTTTGGAGATCTCCAGCAGTAAGTACTCACCGGGATGAGAACCCAGGGACCTCCTGGTTTCCGCCTACTGGGATCCAATCCAATGTCTAGTGAATTCCAACTTTTACCAATTCGCGATGCATATATATATATATATATATATATATTATTTTTCCGTTATCTTTTCTTCATACCATAGATCAATACAGAAGCATCATTTCACAGTTTAGAGCAATACATGAATGAAGTGGAACGATATTTTCAATTTGTAGACGCCAGACGTCAAATGATGTCTAGAACTGAAGTAAGTTGTTTATGCTTACATTTTGCCTTATCGTCAAAGTGTTTAAGAATTTAATTTGTTTATATTTCACTTATTTTGCTTGACAACAGTCTGTAATCTTCAAGTAACTGTGCATATATATATATATATATATATATATATATATATATATATATATATAATGTTAAACACTATTCCGAGTAATAATAATCATACACAATGGAAACTTTTCAGTATTTCGCATTCGGACGAAAGAGAGATGAAAAATATCCAATTACCAGGGCAAAGAAAGACTGATAACCGCTTCTTTCTGCACGCATAAATCAGGTTTCAGGCGCTTGATTGAAGTGGCTTCAGCAAACTTGAGGAGAATTGAACTCTTTTGCCTATTGATAATTTTGAACGACTTTTCGACGTCCACCGGATGAACCGTGTCGGGGAGATGCCTGGTGATGGCAATGTTTAAAGCGTTTGTTTCTTTTAGACATAAACTTTTTGATCCATGTCTAATAATCAGTGGTACAGTATTCTCACCATCAATGCTTCATATTCTTTCTCTTAAGAAAGATTGTTTTTTATTGTTTTTTCGTTACAGGATTTCATCATGAGCTGAAACCGGTTGGAGAACCAGTGGAAAACCTGTAGGGAGTACTGGGCAGCTGTTTCGTCAGCCTAGTTTGCAATTCTTCCTCAGTATGCACCAACCGCAGTTCGAACCCTTAACATTCTGGGTATAAGGCGAGCTCATAGGCCATTAAGCCACTGGGACTAAAGAGATTGGCTAGTGGTTGTGTTATATCGTGAATTGGCAGAAGGTGGAATTCATCAGGTGGCCCAATGGCTTAATGGTGTATGGGCTCGCCTTATAGCCAGAAGGTTAATGGTTCGAACTCCGGTTGGTGCATACTGAGGAAGAATCGCAAACTAGGCTGACGAGAAAAAACTAGCTAGCTGTCTGGCAGTACTCTTAGCTGGTTTTATTTCAATAATTCTCCATCTAATATATCAGCTCATTGTGAAATCCTGTAACCAATCAACAAAGTTCCTACACATTTAATACTTGAATATTTTTTTTTGTTTCTTTTTGTTGTAGGAATGGATAAATGATATCATGTCACCATTTCACCAACGTGTTTATCATCAATTGAAACCGGTTGAACGACGTGTTTACATTGCTACAGATGATCCTAGTGTTTTTGATGAAGCTAAATCAAAATATAAAAATTATACATTTTATGGTGATCGTAGACGTGCAGATTCAGCTGGTGTGCATAAACGACATAGTGATGATTCCATTATGGGTGTTGTAATGGATATTTTAATCTTATCCAAAACTGATTATATTGTGTGCACATTTTCTTCACAGGTAAGATTTTTTTTCTAAAACAAAAGTTGCAGCCCAAACCGAAACGACCTAGCGAACGGACAAATGACCTTGACAAGGACAACTTCGACCAATCAGAAGGCTCAAAAAACGGCGTATAACTGTAATAAATCGTTTATATAAAAGTAATGCAATGTTAAAAAGTAATGACAAAGGATAGCGTTCTCGTATATGTTCCAAAAAAACCTCCCAATTTCTCATAGGAGTCTTCATACTCATGTTAAACCAAGTTCTGTACATAACTAAGAAAGAACGACATACCTTCTTGAACTGATTTTCTACTTCGGCACTCACTACACCTGTACACAAACCCATCGATGCAACTTGTGTATTTTTTTTTATACGCATAACACCTCCGCATTGACAAATTTTTCGACCTTCTAATCGGTCTGTTATCCAAACAGTAATCAAAAACGAGATCCGGAGCGAATTTACAACGCAAAAGGTGTAGAGCATCCATAATTACCTCTGGAAAAAACAGAGTCACCTGAGTGGTCGCTCAAGGTCGTTAGTCTTATTGCTAGGTCGTTTCGGTTTGGGCTGCTATTCTTTAGAGTTGCCAAAATTTTAATACTCTACATTTTGAATTATTTATGTGCTCTGAGGAGTGTGCTTAATGATTTCACTCTGAAGCTTTCATCATTCCTCTTCTATGCAATATCTCTCTTCAGTTCAGGTTTTAGTATAAAATGAACTCATTTGAATTCCCCCCCCCCTCCATGACTGATTATAAAATTGTGTTGCCTCCTGGCAACCATTTTCGTGACTGGCATTTGATTTACATCTCTGTCACAGTGACGAATGAAATCGAATGAACTTATATTTTGCCTCGATTTTATGGTAGAGTGAAACTGCATAAACTAAATAATCCTTTAGTACTACTTTATACTACCGATTAATTGGGATCATATATTGTAGTATGAATAATCTCGATTTCCCGAGGAAACTGTGATGGTGATGATGATGATGATAATGGTATCCCCCAGTTTGCCTACGTAGCCAGTTGGAAATCAGGTGTTTTTAACCGCTTTTAGCTGTTCAAACTGATTCATAGTGAGAGGACATCGCTGATGAGCTTGGCTCCAACCAAATGAAACTGCCGTTCGGAGGTTAGATCATATGAGTTATGCACAACTACTGATTTCAGTTAATCAGTCGTATATGCTCTTATGCGTATTTAATTCAAATGCCTAATATGAACAGGTATTCTGATTCATCTCGATATATTGATTTCATCATAAACTGACATCATCGGAGCATCTCAAACTGAGTATCTATTAGTTTCATGTATCCTGCTTCTCTTAAGCTAGTTTGTTAGTTATGTTTGCTGCAAGGAAGCTAAGGGGATAAAATGTAGAACAACACATTTAAGCGAACAATATTGTGCTTTCAATTAGATCTCATCAGGCTTAACTCTAATTTACCTACAAAACTTTACAAATAAAAATTCAAATATAAACCAATCATTGTGTTTAGTCTATAAGATAATAAGATGGTGAATATAAATTGTGCAATTGACGGAGATGGGCTATCGGAGAAGTTTCATAAAGATACATATGAAAACATCAAAGAGAAAACCTGATACTATGACTGCACGTAAAAAACGTCTATTTATTAACTTACAATTTAATGATGACCTATCAAGTGAGATTTTATTCCAGAGACTTTCTAGCAGTATACGGAGAACGTTTCACGCAGCATACCTATGTTTGTCATTCTATAACCGAAGAGTGATTGGGACTCAAACGAAGGATAAGCTAGGTAGTTTTGCCACATCTATGTGCATTTATCAATTCAACTGCACCTGAGGTGACAGTTATGTTGGACGTACTACTACAAGGCTTAGTCAACGTGACAATATTGAACATCTCCCATGGTGGTTTGGTAAGGGATAGACAAAAGCAATCTGTAGCCCAATTTTGTCACATTTAGTTGATAGCGGTCATGTAGTGGAGAAAACAAGAGCTTTCAAAGTAATCCATCGTATCCCAGCGAATCTTTCCAATAGACGTCGTATTCGTCTACTGCACACAGCTGAGGCGATAGGCATTCGAACTATTAAACCTAAACTATGCATTCAAAAGAAGTTCGTACAGCCATTATCCCTCCCTTAGTGGCTTATTAAGACATAACCAACTGATGACTTCTACACCACCCCTTACTTATATTTTCAACCCCTCTCTTATCATCCTTTAATTCTATCACATCTTCATTAAAAACGTGTTTCATTTACTTCCCTTAAAATCTAGCATTACTTAATTGGTTCATTTGTTTTTACTAGCCTTTATCGATTACTTCTACCTGAACATTTGTTTGTTTAATCGTGCTGTTTTTCGTTATTCGTGTTATCACAGATTGCCTCACTTTTTCATCCTTATTATTGATAAAACCATTATTTTTATTATTATTATTATCATTACTACTATTATGACTAATTGCACAATTTATATTCACCATCTTATTATCCTATAGACAAAACACCATGATTGGTTTATATTTGAATTTTTATTTGTAAAGTTCTGTAGGTAAATTAGAGTTTAGCCTGATGAGATCTGATAGAAAACAGTACTGTTCACTTAAATGTTTTGTTCTAAATTTTACTATGGGATTATTTAATATATGGACAAAATGTGTTTTTTAATGTTAGTACTAATAAAATGCCCCTGTTAAGCAAAACTTCAAGCTTCATAGTATCCTGTCAATTAACTAAAGGCCTTCATATAGTAGGCTTGACTGGTGCCTACAAATACTTACTTGTAAAGCGGCTATATTAGATATGACCATTTAATTAATTCACGTATGTTAGTGCAATTGTATTCTCTATGCAAAGTCAGGGGATTCATAAAAGACGAGTGTGTATTCAGGTTAATCTGCAGTCAAAAGACACCTGGGTATAGATCACAGTAATGAAACAGCAAAAAAGAAGATGTCAAATGGACAAAAAGGGTAGATATCACACCAACAAGGTATCTTTTTTAATTATTTATACCCGCGAGGTCCTGGGTTCGATCCCTAGTGGGTGCATACTGCTGATGATTCCCAAACTAGGCTGATGAAACCGCTACGTGTCCAGTACTCGCTGCTGGTTTTCAATGGTTGTCAAACTGAAACCAATCTGTGTATTCAACTAGCAAAAATCTATTTATTTTTTAATAATTTTTAAATCCCTTGCGTTCTGAGTTAAACGCAAGGCTTCAAATTTGAGCTTTGAAGACAGCCTCCCCCCCCCTCAACCTGTTTTGCCTTTACCAAGCTTACTACTCGCTAAGTGGAGTTTAGCAGTCGGGGATTGAACTCATGACTATGTAAAACTATGCTTGGCGAGTATTCTACTACTGAACCGTCGACTCGATGATACTCACTATCAAAACAAATTGATAAAATAACAAGAATACTGCCTTATGACAACCAGTGACTCTAATTTAGTCATAAAGTATTCTAAAATGTCACTTCATATTGATATGTTGTCTAGAAAGATAATGAAACATCCGTGATTAAACCATGCAGCTGAGAGGATACAACACAGAAGCAAAACCACATCCATTTAATCTACAAGTCTACTCTGTCATTTTTAATTCGTGTATTCGTTGGGTGTGTTCCAGTGTTCATAACTTCTCTGTAATACAACAACTTTTCACTTTATAAGTTTTCAGACCGTAGGTATTACGAACTTCCTGGAATAAATTTGAACGCCGAGTCAGATTTTTTTCTTTTTTTCCTTCACGTTTCCAGTGGAACATAGGGCCTCAAGCTAGTGGCTTGAAGTTTCTGTAGCAGTGTTTAATTTTACAGGATGAGGTTGCTAGCCTCATGCCCAGCCTTTCCTCTTTACCAGCTTTTTATTACTGGCTTAGCGAGGTATAAAAGTGCGTCGGCCGGGGATCGAACCCCGGACCTGACTTATAGAATTCAGTCTGCACCAAAGAGAGGACTAGACGCATCACACTAGTTACTAGTATCAAATCAAAATATCCACTAAAGTCTTACAGGAGGTCAGTCACGAGCCCGAACAGCTCAGTGGTAACGTCTCTGACTGCAGGTGGCACTGGGTGACGTGGGTTCGAATCTCAGAAGGGACATGAGTTCCTTCTAGGTTGCAGATACGCCTTGCTGACGAGACCAACTAGCAGGAAACCTATGTCAAGCAAGGCTTCCCATGGCCGATTGCCTCCAACCATCTAGTATCATCAAATCATGGCGAGCTACCTAGAATGGTGGCCACATTACAATTCTGACTGATAGAATTCAGTCTGGACCAAAAGGAGGGCTAGACACATCACACTAGTTACTAGTGTCAAATCAGATTGATTCATCATAAATTAATTAAATTAATCCCAGCGTGTTTAAAAAAAATCAAAACAAGATTTATCTGTCCAGGTCCATACACATAATTGCCAATAAACAAAATGTCTAGTACAAATGAACAAAGTGAAAGCACAAGTATGCAATCTACTTAGAGAATTGATACCAAAACTATGAGGGAATTCAGTTTGGTTTTCAAATAGCTCCCAAAACAAACATGGCCGCGAAATTTTATGGAAGGCTGAAAAAATACATGAAATAAATGCTCCTTTAAGACCAACAGAAAAATCTTGTTTTGATTTTCTTAAACACTCTGGAATTAATTTAAATAATTTATAATGAACTTTCCACTTTGTTAATCGAATTGATTCTTCATGTTATTATACTACTAATTGATCGTTTTGAATGGGTGAATATCACTCACATCAAATAAGTAGTGTTTACTAGTCTGCCAAATGATGTTTTTGCTGATTTGGGGACTGAGTTCATCAATAGTGTACCCCTGTTTGACTCAACTCAGAGAGCTAAGTGTATTGAAACAACTCGATCATTTCGATTTGGCTATTGAGTACTGCTGTTCGATGTACGCTCAGTTTCCAACCATTCATATCAATCACTAGCTGAACTCAGTTAGAAAACTATGTGGGCGGCTGTTTCATCCATGTGTTGGGGCTATCTAGCAAGCAGTATGTACTCATTGTCGTTCGAACCCAGAACCTTCCGGTTATAGGACAAGTTCGTAGACCATTCCTTCGCAAGTACCCAATCGTATATGGTTGATGAATTCCAACTCCTGCCTATTCGCGACAGAAAGAATCTCAAACAGGTGTCCATTTCATTGAATTTTTGATTTTCCCGTCGATTGATTGGACCGAAGTGCTCTGTGTCAGGTCGACATGTCTGTTGGCTTCTTGCGCAGATGCCTTGACGTTGTCTGGGCATTTAATTAGTATTAATTTGGTGGATGGTGACTAGCAGTAGAATCCAGGATAAAGCGCACTTCGTCCTATTTGGGACTCGTCATCTGGATGTACCTGCATTTTTCAGTGAGTGATGAGTTGGCTCTCGTGGCCCAAGTGGTCTAGTGGATAACGCTGTGGTTGGCGTTTGAAACTATGGGCATTGGGTTCGAGCCTCGGTGGGAACATCATCACTCACTGAGAAATGCAGGTACATCCAACTGAGGGACGAGTCCCAAATAGGACGAAATGTGCTTTATACTGGATTCCACTGCTAGTCACCATCCACCAATTAAGGTGTCCATTTGATTCTCTAATTGAAATGGCAGCTTGTGATCAAACCTGTAACCAATCAAATCACTCGAAAGCAACACACTTGAATAGCATATCAATCAGTCAACCAATCAGAAGTCGATATCATCTTGTATTTATGATTGCTTTACTAGCTGCCATATTGAGGGGGGGGCATTTCATTCACTTATTGTTATTATTATTATTCATTCGCATCCCTTCATTCATGCTTTATATTTGTCTCCAGGTATGCCGATTAGCCTATGAATTAATGCAATCGAATCATGTTGAAATGGGTGATGCAAGTCAACAGTTTCGTACACTAGATGATATTTACTATTTCGGTGGACAACAAGCTTCACCTTATGAAGTAATTATACCAGATAGAAAATTCAATTTAAATCTTGGCGATTTAGTTCACTATCATGGGAATCATTGGGACGGTTATGCTAAAGTTGAAAAATTATCTTCGTCAATGAAAATGATTGCACCAGCATTTAAATTCTATCCAAGATTACTAACTGCTAATATGACTGGTGCACATTAAATTTAGTGTATTTTATATTTTTTTTCTTTTTTACGAATGGGGGTAGTCAGTCAGTCTTGTCTGTCTGTCTGCCTGCCTCTCCTAGCCACTGGTATATCTCTTCACTTCACCAGTCCGCGCACTAAGTCGATGATCATCACCTTGAAACCTTTAGGTGTTTTCTTACCAACTTACTTACTCTCTTTCTCTCCTTGTTGTTGTGACAATGTCAAAGTGACACTAATTTCATATTCCACCTTTTTAACCGCACTCTTTCTACGTCTTCATACTCAACGGGGAAAGTAAAGAGATGTCCTGTATCTTCACACCTGCGTCAGTGCATAATATATATATATATATATATATATATATATATATATATAAGTGTACAAAGTACTTTCCTTAAATTTTTGTCAAACGAGTTTATTTCCATATATGTATGTATTTCTTGCATCCTATATCTCTTTTTTTATAAAATACTATATTATGTATTTGTTTATGTAGAGAGTGTAGTCATCAAAGTGTGTTCATTTCGCGTGTATGTGTTTGTGTGTGTGTGCGTGTATTCTGGGTGGCAAAATGGCTCAACTGAGTCAAAAACATCGCTGAATTCCACTCCACTGTGAGTCGGTGGCACGGTATAACGGTAAAATGCCCGCCGACCACGCCCCATGTAGTGCGGGGTTCGATACCCGGCTGACGCCGCACCCAATTACCTCGAAAAGCCAGTACGTAATACTGTAATGACAGAAGACACAAGGGCCAGACAACAGGTTGTTTATTGAGAAAATCAACAGATATTTATAGATTTCATACATTTTTCCCCCAAAAATAAATTTGAACAAAGCAAGAACTACAGTTTTAGCAGAATAAAATGGTACCATCTTTTATTTCGTTCCCTTGTCGTCAGCTGCTTACATGGCAAAGACATTATTAAATATATCTACTACAACGATTTTGACATACTTGCACAGAGTTCATTTTAAACAAAAATCAATCGATCAATATTTTCATACAGTAATATTACATACATACATTATTGTGTAATATTAAACACTATTTCGAACAGCAATAATAATCATACACAATGAAAATTTTCAGCACTACGCATTCGAATGAAAATATCCAGTTACCAGGGCAAAGAAAGACTGATAACCGCTTCTTTCTGAACGCATAAATCAGGTTTCAGGCGCTTGATTGAAATGGCTTCATGAAACTTGAGGAGAATTGAACTCTTTTACCTATTGATAATTTTGAACGACTTTTCAACATCCACCTGTTGAGCCGTGTCGAGAAGATGCCTGGCGATGGCACTGTTTAAAGCATTTGTTCCCTTTAGACGTAAGCTTTTTGGTACATGTTCAGAAAATCGTAGATATGCCCTTCTTTCTGTCCTTCCAATGTAACTGCTCCCGCAGATACATGTAAATTTGTATACACACAGTTGGAGTTAACATGAGAAGGATAGTTATCGATTTTTGATTGCACCAAAGAGCAAGTTGTTCGACAGACGAGAACGAGCTAAGCTGCAGGATAGGCTATGGCTAGTCATGTACTCAGCCTTCTGTTGATCATCGCTGCAATGTTTTCACCTTTATAATCAAGCTGAATGTAGATTGGCTTTTTACCCACTGTGATTTGTTTTACATTTGTGACATCAGATCTTCGATACTTGTTGATGAACCTTTGAGGGTACCCATTGCTCTTCAACATCTTTTCAAGAAACTCAAATTCTTCCTCTAATTTCCCTATAGAGCATATTCTCTATAGTACATAGTCTTGACTAGTCCGCGTTTAAAGCTATTTGGACAAAAACTATTAAAATGTAAGTATTGCCCTTTCCGTGTAGGCTTTCGATAAATTGACTTTTGAAGACTACCGTCTTCTAGGCGTTCCATGGCAATGTTGAGGAGGTGAAACTTTCCGTCACTTTCGTGTTCCATAGTAAATACTATGTTGGTGTGTGCATCATTGAATAATCTGGATGAGTTTGAAGCATAGCTTTCATTGTTGCTCACTATAAATGTGTCATCAACATATCGACAGTAGGAAGTTGTTTCGTCGATTGCATGCTTCAACTTTGTTGTTTAAAGGTTGGACATGAATATATCTACTATATTTATATATTTATAGATTTTTATGTACATTCTTATTCGTTATCGTTAGCAGAGAGATAACGTCTTCTGATTGGTTGTTTTGTTGCTGGAGGTTATTCTGTCATCTTTTTGCTACCGTTTCTTAAACAGTCCGTTGATATTTCTGCTAATCGTGTCTGCCCACGCAAAGTCTGCTGTGATTGGTTGTTCAGTTAGTCTTTGTTCTTGTTTGTTTTTTCGCATGATCACGATTTGGGACGTAAACATTGAGGTAAATTGATGTCTACCAATTTCGGCTAGCAGACAGCTGTCACCACAATACCACTGGAAAGAGGGAAGGTTGGCCGTCAGGCTAGCAATGTCATCCCGTAAAAACAAACACCACCGCTACTGAAACTACAAGTCTCTACTATGAAGCCCAATGTTCCACTGGGAACGTAAATGAGTGAAAAAAAATTTCACAATGTTATACAGTAATATTCACTGATGACCGTGTTTCGAGCACAATTTATTACTGCTCACACAACTTTCCAACTTCATTTACATGGTTCCCTGTATTTCTCATTTTTTCATTTGATAGGTAGTAGTGTTCTCCATATTTCTGGTATTGAGTGATGAGTGATTCTTATTGCACGTGTTGGGTTTAGATTCGAGGAACAAGGATTCAGTAATCAACGTCTCTCTTCATCTACTTATATTACTTCTTAGAATTTTAACCCTCTCCCACCCTACTTTGTGTTTGGTTGTGTGTTAATGCATGCATGCAGTGCAATTGCTGAGCTATTTTCTGAATTATTTATCTTCGTGGAGTCAATCACTTCTTTCTAAGCTAAATTTTTATGTTTTATCAGTCTGACTACTCCCGATGTACTAGTTTGATCTGTGTGGTTGACTTAACTCACAGTCATTGCAAGGCATTTAGTGATTTGCATTATTTTGTCTAATTGGGTCAGCTGACAGGGTCTTTTAACCTATAGAGATTGTCCCTGAGTGAGTTGGTAGGTTCAATTCCTACTTTGTTAGGAATCCTCTGTAGGGAGGGTTTCAGGCATCCACTCCTTATGTGGTGAAACTACTGTAGATGCTTTATATTCTCTCTTATTTATGTTATCATTACTAGTTTCCCCATTATTTTTATTTTGACCTTTTCTGATCTTCTTAATGAATTTTATAGGATAGTTAGTTATTTAACACCAACGCTTCTTCATCTATCTGTTTCATCATCAGTGTAAATACCAGAGATATGGAAGATATTATTACCACCAGTCAAATCAATGGATAATAAATAATGTTAAAATATATTCAATTCACATTATAACATTCTAACAAGTTACTTATTTATTTTACTATAAAAACATCTTATTACACATGTGTGCGTCGGCGGCACAGTGGTTAGGACTCTCACTGACCATGCAAATGGTCCGGGGTTCGATCCCCTGCTGACACACGCCTGATATCTATGGTCGGCCTGTAAAATTTGGGCTACCGATATCCATGCTGAAAATTCCATTCTTGTACCAAAAATACAGTGTGGAATCAAGCCGTGATCAAAAATAAAATAAATGAAAAATATGCTCTATGCAAGCAGACAATGATGAAATCCTCCATGCAATCAAACAAAATCCCTACAAAACCAATACTTGAAAAATAATAATATAACTTAGAAAATACCTTGCAATGATTGTGAGTGAAGTCAACTACATAGGTCAAACTAAGTAGATCAGGAGTAGTCACACTGTCAGAATATAAGAATTTAACTAATGTTAGAATAATTGACCCGGTGAAGATAAGTGATTTAGAAAAAACTCAGCAATTGCACTGCATACATTAGCACACAACCACACAGTAGGTTGGTAGAGGCAATTGATAGTGTTCTTTGACCTCCTTGGTTTAATTGCGGAGCTTTCATCGTCTTTCTGGACGACATTTTCAGCGTAGTATTAAGGATAAAGTGAAATGATTTAAATTTCTTCATGAGTCTCCTGGTAACCATCTTTAGATATGTAGTGACCGTTTTCTATTGATTGGGGTTTTAAACTTTCTGATCACCTGATTTACTTTTTATTAGTTGGTATATTTCATCTATATTAACGTGTTTATTAATTGCGTTTTCATTTGAGTACCAGGCTTCTAGGAATTCCCTGACTGCACATTTGGTGTTTCCTCTGTTTAATATTTTGAAATTATCCCAATCGAATTGATGTCCACAATCGTCTGTATGCATTGATACTAAAGAATTTATATCATGCCTTTTCACGGTTGATTTGTGTTCTTGGATTCTTATTCGAAGAGGACACCCACTTTGGCCGATGTAATGTCTGTTACAGTTCATACAATTTATTTCTGTAAATGGTGTTAATTTTATCTCCTTTTTCTGTTAGATCTTTTGGTTTGCAAAAGATCGAGTTAAGCGATTCGACTGGCTTGTGTGCTACATCTATATCAAACGGTTTCATTATTCTAGCCGTTATTTCAGAGATATTTCTGATGTATGGTAAGATGAATTTCTTTTTGGTCTTTGGTGATGGTTCTTTGTTGGTGCTTTGATTCGAGTTTAAACACTTTTTGATGAAATTTTTTGGATAACCATTCCTCTTGAACACCGTTTGAAAGTAGTTTTCTTCCATTCTTTTCAACTCTGGTGTGCTACAGTGTGTTTGAATTCTTCTAAACAATGTCTGCACACAGTTTCTTTTGTGAGTAATTGGATTGTTGCTAGTATAGTTGAGTATTTGATCTGTGTGCGTTGACTTTCTATATACTTGTGTTTCTAAATTTCCTGTGTTGGTTCTCCTGATTAAGACATCTAAAAATGGGGTTGGTAGAGGGTTAAAATTCTAAGAAGTAATATAGGCAGATGGAGAGAGAGGTGGTTGATTTCTGAATCCTTGTTCATCGAGTTCACACCCAACACATGTGCAACAGAAGTGAAGTGGAAGATATTATTACCAGTCAAATCAGAGCATAATAAATAATACAATTCACATTATAACATTCTAACAAGTTACTTATTTATTTACTATAAAACCATTTTTTTGACTAGCAACACTCGTCTTAATTCCTTTTTTATTATATTTTATTGATAACGTTATAATATTGGTTCCGAATGTACTCTATCTTCCTTTCTATATCACGCATGTCTTATTTTGATTTTATTCAAATGTTTAATCATCAGTTTTTACTCATGTACATGAACGAAGCAAGAAAGTTGTGTGAGTAAGTACCTTGATATGATTATGAGCAGTAATAATTTGTGCTCGAAACGTGGTCGTCAGTAAATATTACTG